ATTGATAGACCTGACGATGATGGAATGAACATCGAAACATGTCGTCATTTTAAAATGTAACAATATCAAATGTTGAAATGTTATAATTTTATGTGATTTTAACAATCTATAAGCTTGTGTAAAGACGGTGAATAAAATTATTGTAACAATTTAATAAGCCCAACTAGTTTCACGGGTACGCCAAACTCATTGAGAATACCGCAGAATTCTTCCATCCTAACCGAACAATTTCTTGAAGTCTATGAATAGCTGATGTACTGCAATGCTGAAATCACATATTATAAACTGACACTGCATATGAAAAGCAGTATAAGACTAATGAACACTGTAATTCCAAAACGCTGAACCACTGTCTGCCGGTCCAGTTATGCATATGTTTTCCTAGACAGTTTGAAAAATTCCATCTCTCTTCAAATCTCTTAGCAATGGCCTTGAACTCTTACTTGGTTGTTAGGAACTGAAACAGAGGAAAAGCTTCAGTTAATTATATATATTTAGTTATAAAATAATAATGGTATTATCTACTTCATGTTAATTTTTGCTGAACACCTTGAGAGTGAATCAGCAGTGGATTCACTGCATAAACACCCACTGCCCCTTGGCCATTTCCCAAAGGAGTGAAAATTACCTAAGTCATCACTGAGTGCTGCATCATTACCCACGGCCTCAACTGCATTCTCTGAAGGAGAGACAAAATGCCTCCCCCCCCCCCCCCCCCCCCCCAACAGTATTTTGACAATGTGTTCAACTTGACGTCAAAGAAGGTGAGTTTGGTGGCACTGGCAGAAACATCGCAAACAAGCTAGAAAATTTCAAATAAGTCCAATGTAATTACTGAATAATTGCTGATGGATAATTTGTTTTGATATTGTTGTATAAACTGATTACTAAAGTATTTCACATAAACCATACCTAACCATTTCAAAGCTTAGAAAATGTTGGCAGAGGACTCTTGGTGGCTTGTGCTACAGTGGCATTCATGAAGTCCTCGCTTTGAAGCATGGCCATGTTCCAGAAACGCTGTAATTAAATTAAACACCAGAATCAGAAATTAAGCTGAAAGTGCAGTAAAGTGTTCTCAGCCAATCAACCATTTCAGTACACAATAGAACTGAAGTTTCAGTCTGTCATCATCAGACACACAAACTGGCCGTGTTATCAAAAGTATGCCCCTTTTAGAAATGGTAAGTTTTTGTTGTTGTGGGGATAAGAACAGCATTACACATATGTAAAATGTAATAATAAATGACTGTACCTTCAAATGTGAAATTAACTAAAAACCATTAACTTTACAGAACAAGATTCAGAGAACTAGAAGTTTGTGCAACAGGAGTTTAGGTTTTATGCACTGTGACTGGAATTCTCTGTTGTTTCATGAGTCTACAACGCATTCACTCTTTTCCTCATGTTTAATGCAAGCAAGTACAGAGTTATGTGTCACAGAAACAGTTCACCAGATGAGATACTGTCAATTTGTTTGGCACAGGGGAATCAGGAAATTTATCTTTGAACTCATTTTGGCAAGTGAAGGAAGAATAAGATACTACGTAAGTTTAGACAATGAAGACTCGCTGCATCCTTGAATTTTAATTCTTTAAAGACAAATGTCAGTCTGGCACAAGCAGGTTCAACATGGCATGACCTGTGTAGGCTCTTGTATAGTCACATTATGAGTGTATTAATCCAACTGAACTGCATTAAAAAATGATCATCAATAAATATTTTAATATGGTTGCATGACTTCTAGATCATTCAGTATTTAAAAAATATAGATCCAAAAACAGTCTTTCCAGCTTTACTGCAGAAACACAACTCACGATAAGAATAAAATTGCACAGACTGAAAAGTGTAAAGTTTAAAGATTTCTTTTACAAATGGTGATTTACTTCATTCATATTTAGGCAGTAACACCATTGCTACTAAAAAATAGCTTACAAACTCAGTCTTAGTAATTAGAGAAGTGACTGGAGACAAACTGTAACTGACTCTAAATATTATACATCATTCTACATATTATACAAACACAGGAACTTTTGTCCAAAAAATAATAAAGTTCACTACATCGGCTAACACATTCCTAATAGTCTTACCAATCACTAACCTTACATATTCACTTCCAAATATTGTCAATATTCAGAATGGAAACCATACATTGAAACAGAAGACTGCTCATCCATGCTCTACTATGTACATATACTTCTACATAGCGCAGCAAAACAGATTTTTATGTATTCTCACACAACAGTGGTCACCTGAAATTGCATAATTCTGATACTTTCATAAGTCTGATTGCAAAACTCTTATTTTTCTTGGCATAAAGGTGATGCTAAACTTTTGAATGAGTATTCACTCATAATTTCTGTTTCCTTACAGAATTTAATAAATTGATGAGATTTTTAGGTTTTCAAGGTAGTAAATGAATAACTGTTTAGCAAGTTATTAATTGAGTGTTCTGTCAACTCCTGAAATGGTTTCTTTAGCTACATTCAGTTATTCATTGATCCACAATTAAACAAGATTATTAGCAGTGGCTTTCATGAATCACTAAGTAGGGCTCCTTGTGCCACTAGTCTGAGCCTCATCTGTGACGACATGAGAACAGAAATCAGTCCTACCTAATAAAACCTGAGCTAGACCTAATCCAAAGCTGCCAACCTATCAAACCCTGAGATATCAAGAACTTCTGATGAGACCAATGTGAAGCCAGTGGTTCTGGATCATCACTGGTTTGTATCCACCGCCAGCAATTTGATAGCACAAGAAAACTTCAAACCAGCCAGTGGACTAGAATTATTTAAGTATGGTGCCCCACTGACCTCAATGATTTTTCCCCCCCCCATGAGACCCTCCTGTAAATCTGTGGACAGAACTGATATTCACATTCTGAGGTGACAGACCCCGACTGTAAGGCTAGATGCTGCTACCTTCATTGTTCTTGCTGCTGAGGTTGCAAGAGTTGTGATTCGTTTCTTAAAATTACTCTTCTTCACCCAATGAATAAGTTTCACTGTCACATTCCAGAAATATTCCACTTTCTTCAGGACAAGTTTCCTTGATCAAAGCCATGACTGAAAACGGGTAACTATTCTGTGAGAAGCCACCCACATCTGCTTACATTGTTACCAAATGTAGTGTTCCTAAGTGCACCAATTATAACTGAGCCCTAAAAGCTTACATTACAAATCACTGAAGTGTTAAAATTAAACATGGATAAATATGGTGTGAAGAGGCTGAAAGGATTTAGATGACTCAAGATATGGCCTAGCAGTGTGCTTTTGTGAACATGGTTATGAACCTGTTGTTCCATAAAATGAGAGGATTTCTTGGTCACCTAAGTAACCACCAGCTTTTAAGAAAGACTTCTTATTGCTTTATGTACTTACTATATGATCAAGACCCTCCTGAATAGCGTGATCCCTCGAATACACAATATTCCTTTTTGTTACTTGAACTGCAACTGGACTTTTAGCTGCGATATCAGCGGCCATTTCTATTGCTCCTTTCAGCATACTAGAATAAAATTATATGGTCTGTGTTTTTAAACAAGTATGATGGAATGAGGCAAGGAATTTCCTCTCTCCAACTTTACTTAATGTCATGATGGATAAAACTGTTAATAAGGTCAGAGGAGAGAGCAGAAGACATTAATATGCATATAACTGCTGATTTATCATTTACGATAGCTATATGAAGTTCGCTTAACCAGCATCAGCCTCCAGAGTAAATATTCTGAGTAGTTATTATGCAATGCATTGGTTCTCCATAATTCATCTACGAATTTTCCTACATTAACTCAGAATCAGTATACAGTTACTCTATTAATGGTCCTCAATGGCACAGCCGCTACAAATTGCTTCACCATTTTGAGTAGCTAGGAGAGCAGGTTTCTCTCTACAAAATAAATTGGATGGCAGGAGTAGCCAGAAAGCTTCCCAGGTGCAAATATAAACAGACTATTTTATCAGGAAATCATGATTAAATGGGCAGATGTATCACACCAGGAAATGGAAAATGTTACAAAACAAACATTTCTATTACCTGTCTTTGTCATCATACACTTTACTGACAAAACCACACTCCTTGGCTTCGGAAGCTAACATTTTCCTCGCTGTAAACACCAATTCACGAACAAGGCTTTCACTGCCAATTATGCGAGGCAACCTCTGCAATGTTCCCACATCTGCTGCCATTCCTGTACAAAAAGACAAAAGTAATTACACACACCATACAGTACTGTCACCTTCCAAACAAGCAAAAAAATCAACAATATATTTAACAAGTGTAATTCCACCAGCCATTCATCACAGATTTTTATATTAGCCTTCTTCAGCCACAGGCAATTCAGTGTTATTCATCTATCATCAGTGCATGTACGTCGCACGGCTGAAATGTACTGGAATGGAACAGCAAGCAGCTCCGTCTCTCTACACAGTATGTTATTCCTTAGAAACTTACACAGCCACAGATGCCATTACCTTCCATAATACATCACAAGATCCACTCTCATTCCTATACACTTCAAGCACCATTGAATATGCATGACCTCGGAAAGTACAATAACTTCTAATTATATTTAATAACGGTTTACCTCATGGCAATGCCAATGCCTTAAATTACAGGATGATTAATGATTGATGAATTATAATGGAGGTAAGAAGAAGCAGTTGATACCTAATTTTAGGTACTACAAGGCAATGGCTGAATGTTTGTGGGCTTACAGACACATCACCTTCTAAGTCCATCTGCACTTGCCTAACATTTAAGTGAAGAAACAGCAATGTCACAACACCTAGCAAACTTTATCTGCATGCAAAGGTACAGAGGCTTGCCCATGGGACTGCAATTAAAACAGCTGTTATTTTACTAATTCCATAAAGCAAGTCCTCTCTTAGAAGCCAACAATTGCTCAGCAACTCATGAAATTCCCAACATTTTGTGGAACCCGAAGGTTTGAAAGTGGTTCCTCTGGAGAAGCACGACATACACCAAGACAATTATTCTTTCAGAAATTGCAAGAGTTCTTTATCCACTGGGATAACCATCCCAGGCAACTATCAGGGCAAAGATTTTGATACAGAATATTTGGAAGATGGAACCATGATAGGACAAAGGCCTTCCAATGGACATCCCTCAAATGTGGAAAAAGTACTGTTAAGAGCTCCAACTACTGGCAGACATTAACATCACTGCATCTAAGGCAGCACAATACAAAATGGTTGTATTCTGTGATGGGTCACAGGCTACCTAATTAGTGGCAGTTTATATGATGACAGTTTTGACAGACATCATCATCATCATTGGTAAAATGAAAGTGGCATCTCTCAAGCCGCTATCCTTACCTAGCCCAGAATTATGCAGTGCAGTAGTCTTGGATCGGCTGATTAACTGGTACAAAGTTCACTGAGCATGAATATTCAAGAAGCCACCGTGGAACAACTCCACAGTGGTACTGGCAAGTCTGGCAGCACCAACCTACAAGTGGAGAACCTTGGTGGCAAATCTTGTGGCTGAAGTACAAGAAGTTACTCCAAGAAACTGATGGCATCACACGAATGGTAAAGAAAATCCAGCTGATTGAGCTTCACAAGGCATCTCACCTCATTCTTTGGCTAACCATATGCTATGGTGGGAGGGGCAGAAATGGCTCAGACTGAAGCAGCGGTCTTCCTGTCATTAAGGCCCTTAATTAAAACCAAGAAGAAGTTATGATACAGCAGAAAACTGAGCCTTGTGTTCAGATGGGCAAGTCTTTGTTGGATAATTATTTGTCACGGTTGCAGAAACAGCCTGGTGCAGGAGATTAATCACAAATTGCAGATTGGTGCATCGAGATTGGATTAAGGGACCCCTGAAGATCGAGAAACTGTATAAGCATTGCAACATTAAATAATACTGGTACAGGAACATTCTTGGAAGAGACATTGTGTTTCAGCAAGAAGACAGAAGTGTCCAACTACAGTAAGCTTCGCTATCTCAGTCCATTCCTGGACAATTAAGGCATCCTCAGGGTAGGGAGCAGGCTGAAATACACACCATTTTAACAAGACAGGGAACACCCCACATTCTTGCCAAAAAACACAGGTTAATGGAATTGATTTTGGTCCAAGAGCACCTGAATGGACTACATGTTCGTCCACAGTTAATGCTGTGTACACTTGAACAACTCAAGTCATCAATATTTTTGTTCCATTAGGCATAGCTCAGTCAGTATAGTGACTGGCTACGGACTGGATGACCGGTGTTCAATTGCCAACTGGGGCAGAGGATTTTTCCTCTAGCCCCTGCGTTTAGACCAGTTCTGGGCCCACCCAGCCTCATATACAATGGGTACCGGGGTCCTTTCCCAGGGATAAAGCATGGCCAGGGAGTGATACTTACCACTCACCCCATCTAGTGCCAAGGTCAAGAATGAGTAGGAGCTATACCTCCCCCCTCAAGTGCCTACATGGCATATACTGGGACAGCTTTACTTTTTTCTTAAGGAAAACACTGAAGAAAACAATGTAACCAGATGAGCACAAGGAAACTTGTGGAAGTTCCTGAGGAACATCTTGAAATGAAGGTAGCCCACTCTTGTGAATTATGCCTACTGCAGTACAGAACATTCCATGGTAAGACATGTGGGTGCCTAGAGGAAAGTAGCACTGCAAGCGAAAAGCATTCAGTACTGTAACTCTGTCTACCCTGTATGGACAAAACCAGAGTTGTCTGCAATGGCCACAATACAATATTTTCTGCCATAAATGTATAGAAATGGACTGCCAAATTTGTACTCAATACTAACATGTATTTTTCTAACTAGAAGCAAATCCTTCAAATATGGCTGTTGTTGCTGGTTTCACTTACCTATATCAACCTCCTTCACCTGGAACCAAGCATCACTAGTGCAATATCTAATATCAGCTGCTGTTATTAAATCTAGTGCACCTCCAATACATGCATTATGAACTGCACTTATTACTGGTTTCGGGCACTAAAAAAACAGATAAAACTGAAGTAAAAAAGAAGTTCAGAAATACATGCATAACAATTCCGGTGCATTTGTATGAATCTGATCTCCAACCTTACAAAATGGTGCCCATGACCTTTGACCCTAGCACCACAGTATCTACGCCCCTATCAGTAGCTCAAAAAGTCTGATTGTTTTCTTCTGATTAAAGCAGAATTTGTTAATAAAGATTCATAATACAAGGATTTCACAGCAGTAGCACTTGACAAAGGAGAACTAATTTAATTACTTTTATTTCCTGAACCACGGAAACACTATTCAGAATCACGTCAATAAAGTAACAACTGGCATGTTAAGAGAGGAAATCAAAACATCAAAGTAAAATATTAACAGAATCAGTATCATAATTTGGTTTGAACCTTCATCAAATAAACCTCTTAAGTGCCATGCACAAGTACTGAAAGGGACTGTGAGAAATGCTACAAAATTATTAAAACTACAGCCTTAGATAATCACAGCTGCATGCTCTTTACATCCATATGGCCATTAAACATTCAATTTGTCATGTTATCCTAAACCACAGAGGATATTTAAAAGATGTGTATTGAACCAATCAACACACAGAAGATGTAAGAGAAGTCATTCACTTTGAAGAGCACAATACATGTAGCACGTGAGGCAGAATCTGTTTAGGTTTGGGGAACATATTGAAACCAACGAGTAACATTTTAGGCACATTCTTTAATATGGGTAAATAAATTTCACTTCACAGTACTGTTCCATACTCCCTATCACCAAACATGACCAACTATAACTCACTCTATGGTACTGGATATTCTTTGGAAAGTCAATTGTATACCAGGCTTGTCAAAGAATAGCCAACTTTCTTTATAGGACCTGAAGGTTCATCACCATGTTCACAAAAGCCCATCACCAAAATCTGAGTTAGCTGAATCAGTTCACTCCAGCAATTCCTGTCTCATTAAGGTCCATCTTAAATTTATCCTCTCATCTATGCCTAGGTCTTCCCAGTCGTCTCCTCCCATCAGGCCTCCCAAGTAACACCTTGTAAATACCCCTCCCCTGCCCCATGCTTGCCACATATCTCATCCACCTCATCTTCCACAATTTAATCACCCTAACAGTAACAGGTGAAAAGTACAGGCCCTGAAGCTCATCATTATGCAATTTCCTCTAAGATCTGTCTTACTCACTTTTAGGTACAAATATCGTCCTCAAACCTACATTCTCAAAAACCCTCAATCTATGTTCCTCCCTCAAACTGAGAGGCCCCAAGTTTCACACCAAATGAGCAGCAGTTACTTCATATAAAATAAGAATAGTAAATAACACATTTTTACTTCTTAATGTTCTTTACTGCATCTGAGGAATTTCTTGAAGAATAAAAGTATAACATTCTGCTTCACATTTTCTAAGTCATGTAATGATAAATTTAATTTAAACTTTGTACAGAAAATAATAATTATAGATACAATTAAAAATAACACAAAATTAATCACAGCATGCGGAATATTTTTCATAATTTTCAGTAACCCACTGGCTACGGACTGCATGACCAGGGTTCAATCCCCGACAGGGGCAGAGGGTTTTTCCTCTAGCCCCTGCATCCAGACTGGCTCTGAGGATTCGTCCCTGGTCCGTTTCATACCACACATACCATGCAACAGGAAATCTATTTAAATCCTATGCAGAATAGTGACACACTTGCTACAAGACGAACACCGCAATGATGAAGAGCATATCAACTCCAAGGGATGTGTTCCTTAAAATTTACTTGTTGACCAAAAATTCACTGAATATTGACAAAGCTAAGCATTACTATACTTACATGTGTTACACCATAAGCAAACATTACCTTTTCAAGAGATGTCATTGAATCTTGATATAATTTAATAGTGTCATGTAAAATTTTGCAGCGTCTTGCTACATCTTCGGTTTCACTCAATCTTGCGCCGATCTGGGCCGCATCAGCAAAGTCAATGCCTAAATTGCGACATAATAATATGTGTTAATAGCTTGCTTCAGGGCGACGATGGAGGCAGCAAGGACCTCTGAAACGTCGGTAAACCTCTACCAGACTACACGGCGCAACAACCCACAAGACAGCAGCTATCTTCAGACTCACTGCCATGAAAACCTCACTTCCTGTCTCAACTTGCATGAAAGTATAAAATAACAGCACAAAATCAACCACAATAAACTACTGCCCTTAAATCACAAGCTATAAAGGCATGTAATTTCACATAAATATTAGACTCACCAGCACTAAACACCTTTCCTGTGCCAGACAGTACGATAACTCGGCAATCTGGATCATTTCCAAGCTCTGAGAAACACTTTCCAATTTCCCTATAAGCATTAAAATATCATGGTAAGAACTGTACAATTTCTGCACAGTTAAATTCTTAATTTTGCAGGGCACATAAAATATTTAGCGAATTTTATTGTAAGTCTTGTCAAAACAATTATTTAGTAGTTACTTTAAACAATCACCCTGCTTTTGAAAACTCATGTTTCCATGGTCTAGAAGCTTTTTAATTTCATCAGAATAAAATCTGGTTGGGTCTTAGGCCATTCCTGCATTGCTTCATTCCCACCGCCACCATCAACTTCATAATGTTTCCGTGTAGCCAAAAGGACAAACATCACAAGACACTGAGACAGGCTCGAACGATGAATATTGGAAGAATTCAAAGTGTATGTTGTTGAAGGTCTCAACTGTGTGAGGAGCTGCAAGAACATAAGCATTATCTTGGAACGGAAGAACACCTCTGGAAAGCAGCTGATGCAGTTTTGATAGAACTAAAATGCACACTTCAATCCGTTACACTGCATCTAACATTAGGCATTGCTCTTCCTATGATCTGAAATTTAACCAGATAAGACTGGTGGAATCACAAAAAACATCAATCTTTCTGCTAAAGACTGGAAATCTAATTTGTTGGCAACCGGACAGGTAGTACATTTTCAATGTATTTTCCAAATTGTTCTACCAATTTGTAAATGCTCCTCTCGGTTATACAATTACTGCCATACTGAATACTTATTCCTCCATAAAGTCACTATCGTGCATACCCTCTAACCACACACACACATCACAGGTCACTGTTATTCTACTTGTAACGAAGTGAGAAAATTAGAACAACACTAAAAAAACTGTCATTTTACAGACCACCTTACACTAATCAGGCAGTTAAATCAAAGTTGTTATTATTGGTAAGACCAAAAATCACAGCAGAGTGGTTAAAAAATATCAACCCTTGGACCAACTGGCCTGTTTGAGGTTTTTCATGGGTTTCCTTAAACTGGTCCACAACAGCTTCTTTCCATGTCTTTCCCAATTAATTATTCATTAATCAATACATAATTCAATGGCATTTAATATGACCTAGTGACAGTGAAATTAAATAAACCATAAACAAAAGAAATAAAAGACTGGAAAAGGTTGGAAAGGTACGAAGTAGGGAGACAGAAGAAAAACATGAAGATCTTAGGGAAGGAGTATGAGTGGGAGGTGGATAACATTGGCTTTGATATGAGGCGCGTCCACAAAGTAAGTTTCCCACTCATCCCACAGCTAGCAAACCTTATATTGCGCGAAGCGACTGTGCGTACGTGATAGAGAAATGACGTAGCATGGCGGATGCACTAACGGCACTTCCTGCGTTCTCACAGTAGCATCGTTGCAGCTGTTGAAGATGGAGGTTCTTATTCCAGCTCCCGCCGACTGTGAAGTGCGGTCAGTGATAACGCTAGGCCGCACACGGCTCGACGGACAGCAAGTCTCCTGCAGGAGTTCAGCTGGGAGGTGTTTAATCATTCACCCTACAGCCCGGACCTCGCTCCCAGTGATTTCCATCTTTTCCTACACCTCAAGAAATTCCTGTCCGGTCAGCGTCAGCGTTTTGAGAATGACAGAGAGGCGGAGATGGTTGTCACACAGTGGTTCCAATCCCAGGCGGCAGACTTCTACGACCCAGGTATTCAAAAGTTGGTCCCACGGTATGACCAATGTCTCAATTCCGGTGGCGAATATGTTGAAAAATAGCTGGACACTTGCTGTATCTGTTGCAATAAATATTTCCATGAAATTGTGTTTTGTTTCTGTAAACGGCCCCAGGGAAACTTACTTTGTGGACGAGCCTCGTATTAATGATGTGGAAACTTCATATTCAACTACCAGAAAATAAATTTTCATTAGCAACATCCAACTAAATCTGCTAGCGTTCCTTTTGTCTTCAGTAGTGAATGTATTGAAGTCATCAAGTTCCACCAAAACAAAATATGAAAAAGCACAAGGGCAACACCACCAATTTTACAGTAAAATTCTGTCCTGACTTGGTCAAACTTGTACATTAAATAGACTCTGAATAAATGTCAGCTAGTAAAAAAATGTACTGAACAAAAAAAATTAACTTTTCATCTAGGCATCACGGAGTTTTCCTCCGGGGGCTTCCCCAGTTTCTCCGTGGCATCCCAACAATTACTCCATTCACACACAGAAGAAGGCAATGGCAAACCACTTCTGATCATCTCTGCCAAGAATGTATATATGTATGAGCAGGTCCCTGACAACCTGAAGAGGTTGGAAGGATCCTGTTCATAATATATGGACCTGTCGTCAGACAGAACACTACAAATAAAAAAAAAATAAACACACATTAAGTTTATACGGGATACAAAGAAAGCAAATCTTTTACCACAGAAATGGATAATGAAGATTTTACTGCACATTTTAAACAAACTGTTGTTTCGCGTGGGTATGAATCTTGGTCTCTAACCTTGACCCTTTGAAACTAGAGTACATCTAAATAACATGTAAACATTCACTCCCTACCTCAAAGAAAAAATAACAGGTCGCCATTACAAACATCAAACGTCTACTCTGAGAAAGATACAAAACCCATAAACATACTCTGTGAATATTACAGCAGGTGGTACACTGGGCTTCAAATAGTTAAGAGAAGAACACAGAGTGAGAGTGTTTTAGAACAGGTTAATGAAGAGAATGTTAAAACCAAGAGGTATGAACTAACAAGAGCATTGAGATGTCATAAACAGGAACTTCATAATTTGTACTCTTCCCCAAACATTATTACGATGATCAAAACAATGAAGATGGGTGTGATATGTAGCATGTATGAGAGAAGTGTATTTAAACATTAGGTTTGAAAATCTGAAGGGAACAGACCGCATGAGACAGCTATGCAGAAATGGGAAGATAATATTAATACACATTTTAAGGGGACACATGATTTGAGGACGTGGACTGAATTCATCTGGCTCATTGGACTTTTGTGGACACAATAATGAACACCCTGGTTCTATTAAAGTGGGCAATTTCTTGACTAGGTGAGCTCCTGGCACTATCTCAAGAAAGACTCTGCTTTATTGTTATATAAACATACATATACATGTTTACTTACAGCCACATAGTGTTATTCATTGCATTTAATTTCTTGGGTCTGTTGAGTTCAACATGGTAAACAAATGGATTTGGCACAGTTATATTTAATGTTTTGAACTGTGTCCTTTGTTCTTCTGCAGCTGTAGTTAGCATGGCTATTTGAATCAGATTTTGATTCTCTGAAAATGTAAACACAGAACACATTGTGAATTTTCCTGAATTGCAAGCGGGCCATTTCACTCCATATGGCTTACGTATTATAATATTCAATTGCATTATAAGATAATTAATGAGAAGTAAATAAAAGCTTTCTGTTAACATAAGTTCTGTGACCTATGCCAGACCTCTTGCCGATCCTGCCATTTGTATCAGCATCATGTGTTCTGTACTTTGCACTACTTTGAACTTCAGAGAATTATGCACACAAAAAACTCCTTACAGCTACAGCTGTACTTGCTATGTTGTCTTTCCAGCACATTGCTGTGATTCTGCTATGATTTCTACTTGTATTGCCCATTTTCTCTCTTTTGAGGGCCCTAGAGTCAAAATTTTTGGCATTCCTTCTGTAATGCCAAACAGCATCAAAATAAACAATTTTCCTGTTTCAAAGAAATAAAAGTTTTCAATGCATCTATTCTCTATAGACAGCACAACAAGAGCTACTGGTGCATAATGAACAGTACCAGTCATCTTTGTTATCTAAAGAAATTATTCAAGATATATTTCTTTTTATATTATAATATTATGCTGCTAATACAACCATCCCCGCACCCCTCTGTGCCACCTACAGAAAAAAGCAGCAGTAGGATTGTCTGTGGAAGCTGAGAAGTGTATGCACTTAAATTCATAATACTTCCAAGATGTACTACCACTGATGGCCGCTACTTGTGAAAGGCTGCTAGTTGCTTGCAGGATGTAATACTGACTGCAGTACAGATTTTACTCCTCGAATAAAAATGTGGCCAGAAACTACACAAGGAAGACTTTGGAGTATTCAACGGAATAGGAATCCTTGGAATCAGGTGCTGCATAATGAGCCAATTCAACACTGGGTCTTATAAACATGCATAATGCTAATTCTGCTTTTGATGTATCATCCACAAGCTATTATGATCATTTCTCTTTTGAATCAGATAAAACATGTTCCAAACAGTTCACTCCTCATTTACAAACTTCTCTCCTGAATCCTGGTCTAGATACAGTCCTCATACTATACTCAAACAGTGACCTTTCAAGGTACCTGCTGTAACCACTCATCAATCCCTTTATTGGTTTATGTTAATTCTGTACTTGTAATGAATCCAACTTTTATGTGCTAGGTCATAAGGCTTAGTATTATCCACTCATTGTCGTGCTTTTGTCGGACTGAACTTGGACCCACGCCAATAGGAGTTAATGTTACATTCCCTATTGGGGCAAAGTTTGAAATTTGATTGTCCAACCATAAATGTGTTTACGGTATAAGAGGGATTTTGCCGACTGTTGAGACACACAACACTTTTGTGAGCTCGGGAGAGGTGAACGTACGTGCGGAGGTGGCAGTGATTTGTGAGAGGATTGTGGAATTTAATAAAGTAGTTGATTGGTTTGCTATGAACTGGCCGTAACAACAAATGAGACTGAGTCGTTACCTACCGACTAGCAGAGCTAAGCAAATACCCCTGAGAAATCCCAAACACCCAACATATCCCACCAGCTACACACGGTCCGGGATGGGCTACAGTGTGTGACCAGCCACATCATAGTGGACGCTGTGATCTACCGGTCCATGGAAACAATCAGTTACACTGCTATTTATTTATTTGTTAATTTATAGATAATATAAATGAGAAAACTGATGCAAATATACAACAAACATCTGACCATAACAGTAGACCACACATCAATGGCAAATGTATGGTGAAATGAACCACTTAATCAGAGGAGGCACATACTAGAATGCAAATAAATAACACCAACCCTTCCAGAAATTGTTGTTCTAGCAAAACCCAAAATTGCACAAGAAAATTACTAAAAGAACTTTTTAATTAAATAAAATCCCTACATAAAGCACACAAACATGTCTTTGCAACTGCAATGTAAAAATGAAGTTATATCAACCTAAAAAAAACACATTATATAACAATATTTCATTATCATTTATCAGTGTGAAATCAGTAGTACAATAGTGCCCTTTCAAATCAAGTTATTGAAACACTTTACAGCCTTGTGTTCAATATTTATTTGAAAGTTACAGAGTATAGCCAGAAATAAGAAGTTAATTCCCACTTACAAATCTTAGCTGTCAATTGTTAAGGGCAGTTACATAAAGGAAGGAAAGGGGGTCTTTTAACAAGGAAATTTTTGAAGGTTATATGGTCATCCTTCTGGAGTACACACACTGACATTGTCTTCATTGATTAGAACCCAATATAACATTCACAAAGCCATGTTACATGATGTGATGCATGAAATGTCTTAAAGTCTACAGTGGGCACGCTAGGGATACCAGTGCTGCATCTTTAAAGATATCCTGGGCCTTTAAAGTTTAAAGAATGTAATTCATTCCATTAATTGGTGGCATGCTGAAATATTTTTGTTAGTCTTTAAAACATAAAACCTTGAGGGCAAAAAACTGTTAGGTTCTTAGAGGTTTTGGCTGGTTTCTACTCCAAAGAAAAATATGTCATTCCCCACTTCCAAATCCCTGTGCATACATCATTTAGTGTGTGACCACATATTAATAAAACAATTCAAGTGACAACAGGTCTAACACTGTTCTCAATACTGCTCACGTTTTGTTGCTAATGCCATTCTTGTTACTCTCTTCATAAACAGTGAATACATTGCGAAGACCACCAATTAGATAATTATGTACAAGTCCTTGTGTTTCTCTTCTGTTGACTTCTGTACCAAGAAAAAGAAGAAGAAAATAACTTGGCTTAGTACACCTGTTCGTATGCAGTCACAGGAATGAATACCAAAGGATGGAAAGATTCTTCTACTATTAAATTACAGATAAGCAGAATTAGCATTCATTTCTTGTAAGATATACTTACTTCCCAAGGCAAATATTAATTCACCAGGAACACAAAATCGACACACTAACCTTTGGACCTTAAATTTATGGTTAAATAGACACTGGAATAGTTGAATCAGTACAGTGATCGTGCTACAAGCTGGACAACTGAGTTCAATACCTGACAAAGCAGAATTTTCTTTTTCGTTTTTAGGGTGTAATCCTAAGGATACTACGACGGTGATTATGATTAACATGGAAGATAATGCTGGATCTGGAAATTTCAAGATGACTTGCTTAATGACTGCTAAGGTGGGCCTCATGAGTAGTTATATTTTTCCGACTATTGCTACATTTGTCTTCCTTTACGTTTGACATTCAAATGCAGTACGAAGTTAACCCCACAAAAACTAATTGTGATTAGTACTTACAAATCAAAATAAATAACAACAGCAACTGTTAAACTGAACAAACACGCACTCCGTAACATTACACAACTATACAAAAACTATACTACTGGCACAGATAACACCAACATTCTGTTTACCACTGGCACGGGTAATAGCTCTAGAACGATAGGTCATGCATGCCTTATATAATTAACCTATACGTGTATAATTCCAACGCAGCACTGTGCGTCGGGCTGCCACTAAAGTATATTAAACAAGTAAACGCAATGGCGAGGTGTAAACAAACTAATTGAATTAGAACAATTATGTATACCAAGACATCTTCATTCATCGGATACACATTTTAGTATTCGTTGATTTCAGTAATGAAATTAAAACTTTAAATTCAAATAACTGAGTTTTTAACTCTAGATAGACACATTATACGTTCCTCGCATCTGAGAAAGAACATTTCTACTCACGTAAAATGTTTCGGGACTCATAAGACCAAGCCATTGTGGTAAAATTTGCCTTCGAAGTATCACTGAAAATAAATTAAATCTGTTCGCACATTCGGTTGTAAGTACATGTAAATTCAAAACTTGTTCAGCTACATGTATTTCTGTCCGATTGATTTACCCCGTTGAAGGAAGCAATAAGTTACTCTGAAGTGTCAGTCAGTGTTTACCGTACTTGTAAAACGTTCCAGAAGACAACCATCTTCATGTTTGTCACCATAAGAACCTGTAATCTCACAAAAAAAACTATAAATATAATTCTGTATAATTAACTGTGCAGTGGACATTTAAACTTGGCATACCATTGAGACAAATATTGGAGTATTTGGTGTTTAAAGGGTTACTGTCTGAGAACAGTATTATTCTACAAATAATATGCCACTGTTTAGTAGTAGTACATTTAAAATACATGTATACGTAGTTCCCTAGGCATACAGTATCAGCAAGCCACATAACTGGAAGCTCTCAATATGTGATACCAAAAATGCACGTCTTCATATATGCTCTTAATTTACAGGGTCTAACGCAAGGCTGCATAATATACTTAACAATACCCTCTCTTGTTAAGTGAGCATAATTTTATGTTTCTCACTTGTACATGTCCATGGACCCAACAACACTTCTGTTGTCTTACATACAAGAAATCATGCTGGAATAGGCATACTTAACCCAGTTCCAACAAATGTAACAGATGTTGGATGATACTAAAATACAGCATAGCACAAAGTGGTGAAGATCCAGTGAACAACATACTTCAATGTTTCCAGCATTTTTGACACATCATGTATAAACACACAAAACACAACGTGCTAGTTTTTATACAGTACTTAATACAAATAAAAATTATCATGTATTATATAATGGAACCAATTGTTACAGCCACATTCATTCAACTAACTGACCCGAAGGTATGTTAAAGTGGGGCATCTATCCAAAGCTTAGTCATCACACCATGTTCATATTTATGTTTTTAAAAGAGCCAAAAATACGTCACGTGCAAATATCCCACTTTCATTTTTTGCTGCAGGCCATCATGTTAGGCGACACCTCTCGTTACATCCATTGTGTCAATGGCAGGTACAATTTTTAATGGTTAAAATACTTATTTTCATTTCATTTTGGACTAGTCTTTGAGAATGCACTTTTATGCACCAAACCATGAATTAGAAGAAACAAATTAAAATACCTCTAATTAATATTACTAACAAGAAGGTCAAAGATTAATCACCTCATCAAAATTCCTGCCTCAGCCAGGAATCAAATCCCAGACATCCAACCCATGGGCATTCACTTTACCTTGGTAAAAGATAACCTGATAATGTATAAATTCTGTAATTGACATTTTTTATGTTTCACATCTTGGTAGCAGCAGTAACTAGAAACTTTCCTGAATTTCAAATTCAACAGCTGATCATAATGAATGAAACCCAGGGGAACCTCTCAAGTAACCCAGGGTCCACAGAACAGTTTGGGAATCGCTAGTCTACTAGAAGATTGCACTTTATATATATCTTCAAGCACTCTGTGTCAATGACATACGGTTATGTATTATCTAATATGTAAAAAATTATTCATTTCTAAGATCCAGTTTACAACTTTGGCAGGCTCACAGATAATCTTCATCACATCTAAATCTTTAATATGTTAAGAATGTAATAAAAGACATGATGCATATGAACAAGGTGTTTTCAATGAATGAATAATCTCACAGACAACCAACCAGCGGTAACAAATATATTGTAAAACTAAACATAGGAACTTCATGTTTTCTAACAGTATGCAGAATTTTAATGCTCATTCTTTTCAGCTCTACTGAAAAGTATGACTTACTGTGTATAGCGTGGCATCAGCATTGATGAAATCAGTAACATTTTGCAACCATAACAGAGAAAACTTAATGACACTTCGTTCAAGTTGTTAATTATTACTCTATATTAAAAGAGGAAATTATTGCAACAGCAGAGGACATAATATTAAAAGTAGAACTAACATAATAGTGCGTGAGCTGTTTGCTAAAATCACTTTTCTGCTTGTTTCATCATCACTGATGTGATTCAGCAACATTTTCTGTCAAATTCACAAAAAACACACACCTCTCCTTTTTTGAAGTATGATAATAAAAGCAAATGAAACTGTTATACCAAATTGGATAAATACTAATCAGGTTAATTCAGTGTTGCAGAAAATATTTTGGTTCTCAATGGAATCAAAATTCAAAGTTGATGGTCCCAAATATCAATTTAGTTGATATGCATTCACACTTCTTGCATTATGTATGTTTAAAGCTTACATACAGAAGCCATTCAAAAATTAATGGCAATAATGCAGTACTCTGTACTGTTATCAGTAAGAAACTGCTGTACAGTGGCGTGAAACACTAGGATTCATGTACAAACACGTTTAGTAACTACAATAATACCTCATAAAAATCCAGGTTATGCACAGGACAAATGCATGTTAGTCTTGTTGCCAGAAGGCGGTGGACATGTACCTCTGCCACACTGTACCATGGCATGTACGTGCCATTCAAAGTGGGAGAGAAAGTAAAGAACGGCACACAACCATCCTGTCGTGGTACAGTATGGCACAGCTTCTCGCAGTCCTTTGCAACACTAACACGCATCTAAATCTCACAAAACCTGCCTCCAATGAATGAATAGTGCTCATACTTACTGAATATGTTTTTAGGGCAATTTCATTTGACACCCGTGCTTCACAGCACTATATGATACCAAATACTTAACATATATCTGCAAAAACATGATAACAAATGCAACACGATTCAGTCTCTCACATAGCTGGCAATGCACTGGCCCCATACAATGAAATCTGGTATCACATACTTTTGTGGACAGAAAATTATGTTACAATGAAAGTTTGCTATACTGAAAGGCAATAAAAAGAAATCAATAACTTAAGATTTATTATTTTCACAAATACCAATGCTTTTTTCTCAAATATTTGACACATTGCCTGTTCATGATATTAGTGAGTATAAAACAATTGTTCATACATTCTTGCTATTACAACATAAACTTGAATGACCTACCATTTACATGATTATGTAAATTATTGTGCAATCTTCGCACAAGCGCACACACACGAAGTATTTTGACGAAATTTGGTACAAACTACTAATGTGGTTACATTTCACATCACACCACTTACTGACTATTGGAGAAGCTTTCCTTTCACTTTGTTTACAATCTGATGTGCTATTTTTAAGATAAGATGCTTGATTACCACCAATTTCATCACCACTGTCATCATATTCTTATTCCAAAATATCTTCTTCCACAGAATCCAAAACTGACATAGTACCATCATTAATCACATTATTCTGCAACGTATTGTGTACTGCGTGAATTATGGTAGTTAAATGATTTTCTGTTCATTGACCCCACTAACCAGTTTTTTTTTGCCTCTAAAACCATTGGCACACAGTCGTGTTTGCCTGGCACGTTGCCACTTTTCCCTCTTGCTTAGTCCACCAGAATGTCTTCCGCACTTGGAGTTCAAATAAAGAGCTGACAGCTAAGGATAGGAAAACCGATCAAGAAGTGATGTCACAAGCATGTCTTGAATAGTATAAACACAATTCAGGAAGCAATTTGTGTTTAGTCAGAAGAGTTGAGGACTCCTGCAGCCAGATGCTGGTTTTACCCATCGGACATGCATATATGTGAATGCAGAAACAAGGTCAGCATCTTCCATTAGGAAATGAACTACTTTAGGATAAGATTCACAGCAAAGCAACAGGCAATAACCAATAGGCAGCAGACATCACTTTTATGAACGGCATGAAGTTCAACAGACACAGTTCACTCCGACAGGGATACTACTTTAAAATGATCACTCAGTGATATATGTTTCAAAAGCAACATTTCAGCTTTTCTGCCAAATGAAACTGTCACCTGTCAGTGTATAAGGGGTTTGTTTGTAGTGGATTATTGCATCATCCAGTGAATCATCCCGTCTGCAAGGCATTAAAATCAACAGTAACTGTGTCTACTTAAGAACAATTAAATATTATGTTGCATGATCCATAGCTTTCAAAGCAACTAAATTCAATGAAGTCTTCACAGGCAATCAGCCACATCCAGGTGGCTGTAAAAAACGAATGTTTCGAGAGCAGTCTCGATTCTCATTAACAGAGATCTAACACGTCTGCAGAGCCCGGGACGTCCCACATAGATATACACCTACCTGAATCGGTTGCTGTTGAATGGGGTTAGTGGGTGGAGCCACATGCCGAGCTCTGCTTCGCCTTCCAGTCCTACTGGTGCATCTCTAGACCATTTGAGTACATTTATTACTGGATACCATGTGTGGCTCAGAGTGAACCCTTTGTCTCTATTAAACTTGTTGAGATCTAGCTATCCTCAGTATGAAGATACCATTGAAATCAATATGGTGAGCTGTAGCAATCTACCACATCCTTTCAATGATATTTCCATGCCAGGGACAGCTTCCAGGTACACAGATTTTCTTTGTGAGGGAAGCCAATGAGATCTGGCTACATCCCAAAAACTTTAACAGAGGTAAAGGGTTCACTCTTAGCCACACATGGAGTCCAGAAATCAATCTACTCAAATGGTCTGGACACGCACCAATGGCAAAGCTAAGCCAAGGCACACAAGCGCCACTGGCCGCCCGGTCTGACAGCAACCAGTCCAGGCAAGTATATATGTGGGACATCATGGGCTCCGCAGACATATCAGATCCTTGTCAATGAGAATCAAGACTGCTCTCAAAACATTGGTTTTTATGGTCATCTGATAAGGCTGATTGAGCATGAATACTTCATTGAAATATTACATTCATGCAAATTATAAAACCTGCAGTACGCAATGATTACTTTGTTCCCAACACTTTCACAAACCAGCAGTTTGATTTCTTTGGCATAAATGTACAGCCATCATCACACATCAGCTATCACTTGTTAAACACTGCTAGCTGCTTTGGTGAGAATCCTGCTCACAGCAGACGTCATCACTTTGGCATTAGCCTGGTCATTAAATGGCAATATTACAAGGGCTACCATCAAAATATTTTCATCTTAAAGTTCAATGAACAGAAATCTAAATTACAGCACCATAGATGCATGTATGCTTGTTGCATCTAGTGCACATTTAATAAACTGTTTGAAAAAACAACAGGGGTTGTTTATTTTGAAACACTGCTTGTGTTGCTGGCACAGGAATGTGTATATGTTCATATAAAACTTGGAAAGGATAAACATTATCAAACAAATTCTGTTTCGATGGGGAAGGGTTTTTTTTTGATATTTTTATGAAATTTTGCTATACCGTTATCTGTTACAGTAAAATGTTTTTCACAACAGGATATGATGCTCTGATAGGGGGTGAACAACAGTTTCATTATACTGAAAATTTTGTTATGCTGGTATTCATTATACAAAGATTTTACTGTATTTAGTATTAGTAATACCTTCAGGTACTTTATCCTCCAAATACAGATTTCCATAACAATGAATTAGGAGGTCACTTCTTGATTGAATGTAAGGCTCGAAGATTACATTCTGTAGAGAACCACATATTTAAAATAATAATAAAACATTCCCAAAATTCTGAACATTAGTTTCCCCAACAGTCACTGAATAAAATTTAAAATACATATTCAATAGTATACATTCTAGAATCTAAACAGTTCAGTTCACCTGATGTTGATACAGATAAAGCATTAAACAACAATAGTAACAGAATATATTACATGAGTCTGAGGAAAGGACTTGCAAGTCACGACTAGAAGCCAGCCATGAAGGCATGGCAAGGAAGAAAACACTGAAGTAAGAGATTAACTTGGATTATGTTCTACAGAGGTCATAACTTGATCTTGCTTTGACAGTTCTGGCTGTCGTTCTTCATGCATGGGCTCATCGGTAACTGGCAAAATGGGGCGTCCCGGAGAAGGGCTGTCAACTGGTCGGAATGTGAAACCAGGAGAATCTGCACTTGAAAGTGACTCAGGAGTTCCAACAGAACTGAGGGATCCAGGCAGTGGACTCGATGTTGCATCCAATCTGATAACAATTTTAAAACATGTAATGGAGAAGAGATAATGCCATAGCAAATAAAAAAAGTAAAAGCTGTCCCACTGTATGCCATGTAGGTGCTTGTGGGGAGAGGAGGTATAGCTCCTACTCTTCGTAACCTTGGCACTGGTCACTGTCACGCCCTGGCCATGCTTTAACCCCAGGAAAGTATCCTAGTACCCATTGAAAAGGAGGCTGGGTGGGTCCCACAGCCAGTCTGGATGCAGAGGCTAGAGGAAAAGTCCTCTTACCCATCAGGGATTGAACTCCGATCATCCAGTCTGTAGTCAATCACTATACGTTTAAATATCGGTGTTCATATTAATTATCCTTATCCTCATTTTTTTAAACCATAAAACCTTATGCCTAAAACCTTTGTGTGCCTGCGTGCATGTATAAACAAATAGACTTTATCTTTTTCAGGTTTTGATCCCTTAATGTTTCAGCCCTCATCTTGAGGCTTCCATAACAGAAAACAACAAACAGTCTATACGTAACTCCTTTGTTTTATGAAAGTCAAGATGTGTTGTAACTTTACAAAATAAAAAATTATCTCAAACACACGTGCAATACATCTGCACAAGGTATTAAAACCAATTACAATCATGTGCAAGTTATCAGATCAGAAATAAAAATTGTGTGTGTGTGTGTGTATACACACACATGAAAAAAAGTATCCATAATTTATTTTCCTTGTGTTAAATGAGAGAGAGAAAATACTGGTAATGTAAGATTTGAGGTTTTCATAGCGGCGAGTATGAAGATTGCTGTCTTCTGGGTTGTTGCGCCGTGTAGTATGGTAGACGTTTATCAATGTTTCAGTGGTCATACTGCCTCCATCATCAGGGCGAGGACGGAGGCAGTATGATCTCTGAAATGTTGGTAAATATTTACCATACTACACGGCACAACAACCCAAAGACAGAAATCTTCAACTACTGGTAAATTAGGAAAAGTATTACAAAAAAGTCAAGTCTTCAGCACACTTTCCTATTGCAGAGTCTTGCAACAGTGACCATATCTCAACTGATATTGATAATGTCGTGCAAAGCTCAACTACCTCTTTGACAAGTTGCCAAGTCACTCAGGTGGTAAAAGAAATTCTCTGTATATTACGGAATCTGAAGGTTCAACAGTCTTCACTCAAATCTGAGATCCAGTGTAACACTTCATAACATGCTAGTTTATTACGATAAGAGAGTCATTAGCCCATCTGTCCTACACTAAAGCTAGAGATCTACCATTTACTGACTGCCTATTTATTATACCTGTAGATACCCTCCATGTTTGGAGGATGTACCATGATGTCACAAGGGATCCAATTAAGATGAACAAACTGAATATCTGCAGTGAATGGTAAACATTCCTATCTGGGGTCATCAAAGACAACAGTAATGCCACCTCAAGGGTCTGGAAATGCCCCCTATTTAATGGCAAATGTTATAATGCAGACTCAATCAAAAACAGCATAATAGATCACTGTGAAGACATTTTATGCCCACCTGTTTGAATGGGCCATGAGAAGCCCACCCCTGTCCACAGTGAAGCTATTTGGACGCTTTGCTGGTGGAGAGAGATACTGGTCCGTTTTTTCTTCTTCCAAGTCAAACTTTCGCTTCACTGGACCAAGAGAGCTAGGTCGTATGGCAATGGGACTCTGGCTACGTCTGCAAGCAGAGACAAATAACAAAGATATATATTTTGGGTAGATTTAGATATATTTCACTCTATCCTGAAAGAGTTTGTATCTTCACTACTCAGTCTATCCTGAACAAATTCATATCTTCACAACCCACTCTATTCAGAACCAATTTGCAGCTTCATAACCCAAATATGAGCCAATTTACGTTCTTTTGCAGCCCAGTCTATCCTGTGGTAGTTTACATAATCATAAAGCAATATATCCTGAGTTTATTCACATCTTCACAACCCACACTAGCGTCAATCAATTCTTACCTTCACTATCCATCTGATCCTGAATTAGTTCAAAGCTTCACAACTAATTTCCTTAAGCATTATTTTTAATACACCCTAAAGAGTCACTTCCCATGACATTATCAAGAAGAATGTAAGAAGTGTTCTGAATACATCCGTGCTAATGCTTGATGCCACCCCCATTTCCTTCATTTATACATCCCAGCAATCTTAGATGAAAAGTACAAATTATAAAGCTCCATGTTATGCAATGCTTTCAGTTTCCTTTTCAGTCCCTACCAGTTTCCAAATCTTCTTATGTTGTTTTGGTTAATATGATAGTATTATATTTAGCCCCCTTCAATTTAAATGTAAGTGCATACACATAAAAGGGTTAAAGCCAAAGTTGTATATAGCAATCAACATTTTCACATGATAATCTGATAGAGTTCCTGCAAGCATAAAATGGCATGTACGAATGCATATCAGATGTATGATTGAATCCATTCAAAAACCGATCTCTTTACTTGCAAATCTGCTTTATTCCTGGCAATTCTAACACATTCTAACAGTCTTAAGTTGACAAAACTATGATCTTTAAGAAAGATGAGATTGCACAATGACACAAATGCATGGATTTAAAATTTAAAATGCAATGATTCTTATTCAGACAGAAAGGACTATAGTTGTGTGTGTATTTATATAATAAGTGTTCAAACACTTACTTTGTTGTGAAGGCTTTTCTTGTAGGGCTGGGCGAAAGGCTTTTCCACGACATATTATGGATACCAGGAGAATAAGACTGTCGACCCAGGCCAGGACGTGTCGGCGAAGGAGAAGAGCACACTGGGGGGCAAATGGGAAGACTGAGGTGTAATGGTGGGAGCTGATGAACCATTCGCGTAGATTCTGTCCTTCTATTCTCCAAATGCTCTGTCTGCAAACAAAATAACAAGACTGGAAAGGTGTATGCTGCACAGCACACAAAAGTTTCAAAGGCACATACAATGGAGTAATAAAAAATAGTTCATTCATATGGCCGTTGATAGAAGATGGCACAAACAGTTCGTAGAGCCAGTGGCAGATGGCAGAATAGTTTTACAGCCTGAAAGGTACAAGAGGCAGACAAAGAACGGTCCTGTTTTTCATATGACTGAGCTGTGGTGTTGTCACAGATGAAACTTTCTTGTGGCTGCATGGCTGAATGGAGATTTCCCATCCAGTTACTTTTGTGCACACACTCATGGAAAGCAATTAAGAAAGGAGATACAGGCTCTTGGCCGGCTATACCCCACAAGGCCAGGTACAACAGTACTATAGGAGGGCTCACAATCTTGGCTGGACCTGCCACACGGCACAAAGCCCTGACCAAGGTGCCTAAAAGACCATGTCCGAGGACAGTACCCTAGCTAAGTTCAAAGAAAAGAGACCTGAGATCTATAGGAAGGCCTTAACTATGGCCACCAGATTTACAATTTTTGCCATTTGGGCAGACATTTTCTGGAACCAGGTAATTTTCATGAGATTCCACTGAGTAAGATATTGTGTGTTATGTAAGCACAGATCTACTGTCACATCAGAAGAATGGGATGCACAAAAGCTGACAAAATGGTCACAGTGCAAGGATTGCCTTGTTACCTACACCATTTACAAACACGTGCATACTGTGAACATCAGCAGCCACCATGTTTGTGTCATAGATGTTGCAGCAGTTGGCAGGGGCAACTGTCCAATGTAAAATGCAGAGATGCCACAATTGTTTCAGGTGGTAATATTCCTGCACAATATTAATCTTATTTCAAACCTATTAGGTGTCTTTCTGGTTTCTGAAAAGAAATTCTTCCCTTTCTTTGATGTTGGTCGGAATATCTTCACAGAGTTGTTACCAGGCTGAAGAATGTTCATGAAACCACAATCCAGATGGAGTTACATTTGAGTAGATTTGTTTTCTAGGTGGGTGGAACACTTTACCATAAGGAAATGCCCTGGTAAAACATTTCTGACTTTGAATGGTCATTAAGGAAGCTGAATAATTAAAAAATGTTAGAATTTTCTGATGGACAGAAAGCCAATTTTATACCAAAAGGAAAATATTAAAAGATGGAATGATAAAGAAAAATTCATAAAGTTATTAAACACCAAATTACCCAAAATTAATTACAATTAGTGAAAGAAGAATAGAACAGACTTAAGGCAGAAAGACAGAATAAAAGAAACTGCAATGAGGACATACAAAGCCTGGAGGGAGTGGCTCAATGACAGAACTGACAATAAAGAAGAGAATTTGAAAAGACTAGATCAAGGAATTAAATTAGAGAAGAAAGGACATGGGGAAAATGATGTGATGGATCAGAAAGAGATTATAAAGGAAACAAGATGTTATCAAATGCAGTAATGAGGAATAAGTTGAAATGAAAAAGAATTCAGTCATATTAACATACGACATATATTAAGACATGAGCCGGGATAGCTCAGTCAGTATAGTGACTAGCTACGGGCTGGACGACCGGGGTTCGATCCCCGACGGGGGCAGAGGATTTTTCCTCTAGCCTCTGCGTCCAGACCGGCTCTGGGGCCCACCCAGCCTCCTCTAAAATGGGTACCGTGGTCCTTTCCCGGGGGTAAAGCCGGCCGGGGCGTGATGCTGACCACTCACCCCCATCTAGTGCCGAGGTCAAGGAAGAGAGGAGCTATACCTCCACTCCCCCCAAGCGCCTACATGGCGTATAGTGGGACAAACTTTACTTTACATATATTAAGACATGGATAGAACAGTTTAAGGAATTATTAAATATACAGAATAATGGTGAAGACAGTATAGAAAACAACAGGGTTCCAGAAATTATAACAATAAATTCCCAATTATCCATGTATGGATTATTCACATGTGGCTTATCCACATGACTTTCATTTTAAATAAACATGGCCACATGCAAACTGGGACACCTCAGACCTACTTTAAAGATGGCAACTGCAATGTCTGCCAGAGCGCCGATTAACACCAAAAATTTGACACGGCTGTCTCCGAAAGCCAAAGTTACATGCAATAATGTAACCATTATACCTAACCCAAAGGTATGCAAAGTATGGTGGTTTGACCACCATGGTATTGTGCTTTAAACATAGAAGCTACTTCGCATTTCATGTACCAAAGTAAAAATGAGAAATGAAACTGCATGACAACATAAGGATGGTTCAGGGTTGACCTCACACAAAACACACACACATCAGAATCACCACACTATTACTCTTTTTCAATATACCGTCCCTCTATACGAACAGATTTTTGTAAGGCACTCATGTGGGAAGCACAGAAAGATGCCGGATGACTATGTAGCCAATTCACTAGGGGTTAAATCCACACTGTAGGGAAGGTGGTTTAAGATTTCCCAGCCACATTTTGCCAGTGTCATTGTCAAATCTGCCACATGTGAAAGTGCACTGTTAAGCAGCATGAAGAGTTCCTTTGACAGTTTGCCAAGTATTTCCGTGCAAACTGCACTGCATTAAGAAGCAAGTTACTGTTCATTAACTGCTGCAAGAGGTGTCAGAAAATTAATATGAATCACCCTTCAGAATCCCAAAAGACCCTTGCCATGATCTTGCCAGCTACAGACTTTCCTGAACTTTCTGGGTGGCAGGAATCCTTTGTGGTGCCATTCCACATAGGACCTCCTTGATTATGGAGTGAAGTGGTGCGTCCATGTCTTGTCACAAGTCACTATTCACCGCAGAAATGTGTTTCCCTCCAGTTCAAACCAGTTCAGATGTTTGGCAGACAAAGAAACACGTTGTGCCTTTTGGTAAAACGTCAGCACACTTCCTTGAACACCAAGTGTTCATGAACAACTGTCTCTACATTGCCAATACTTACACATATTTTGGATGTAATATCATGCAGAACAGCTACAGTGACTGACAGATTCGACGGTCTCACAACTCTCCAGTGAGAGTCACACCACCCCCGGAGAAAACCGCCTTGGTTGCCTTCCTGCTCTATGTGAACACAACCTTCAACCGCATCAGCAGGCTGCTGTCCAGGCGCAACATCAAGTCTGTGGGCCTCCCTGCAGAATATCCCCAATTTCCTTTGGACTGTGAAGGATGACTTGGGACTCAAGACTCCTAGTGTGTACAGTATGCCCTGTGAGTGTGGTCAAGTCTACATTGGGCAGACCAACCATTCCATTAAGACCAGGGTCAAGGAGCACCAGCGCCATGTCTGTCTGGAGCATCCAGACAAATCCAGCATTGCCAAATACAGCATCAACCTGGGCCATCGCATTCAACTCCAGGACATCACGATCCTGCCCACCAAATCTAGATACATGGACCAGATGATCAGGGAGGCCAATGAGATCAAGTTATATCTGAACAAAATGAACAGGGAGGATGACCTTCACCTGAGCCAATCATCCACTCTCTCAAAGGAAGTAGGAAGCACTGCCAGTCCCAACACGGCCACTACAATCCTTTTTCAGGACACCACTCGGCCCTGGCCAATCCTTAATTCCACTCTCCTTGTTCCTCTTCGTCACATCCACCCAACTCCCTCCACCCACCAGACCAGACCCTGAGGAGCCCTTACACAGGATGCTTTCTCGGACCTCTCTCTTTTTCATGTCCTTCCCCAGCTGGCCAGGTTGTGGCCCACCCACCTCTGCCACTGGCTCCCGGGCCCTTGCCCGATCCTGACTCCACTCCCCACTGGTCAAGCCAAGGCTCTACCTTGACTGACAGTTTCCTATAACTCAAACCAATTCCATGCACATGGTTTATTAATCACCCTGATGATGGATACAGCAAGGATCTCTGAAACACTGGCAAACATACCAGACTGCACAGCACTACAACCCAGATGACAGCCATCTTCGTACTCACCACCATGATAACCTCAAATCCTCCTTACAACATAAGTTTCCCCATTTCATTCTCTTTCTTCTGAAGAAAATAAAACTTGTTTTAAAAATCAGATCAATGTCACACAAATAGAGCATCATGCAATAACAAAAGTGGGAAGATTTTCTTACACACCATCACCAACTATACACAAAATCTGCATTCATAAATAAAGGTTTGAAGCTCTTTACACATTTTTTTGTTTGAATTTGGCGTACCTAAGAAACTAGTCAGGCTAATTAAAGCATGTTTAAGTAAAACCTCTAGCAACATTCGTGTAGGTAAACATTTGTCTGATACATTTCCTATTCAGAATTTCCCGAAACACGGAGATGCTCCATCACCGTTGCTTTTCAATTTTGCCTTGGAATATGCCACCAGGAAAGATAGAAAATCAGGGCGATTTCTAATTGAATGGGAGACGTCAACCTTTGGTCTATGCTGATGACATTAATCTGCTGGGCTACAATATAAATATTGTAAAAGCAAACACAGAAACACCCTTAAGGGCTAGAAGGGATGTTGGTCTAGAAATAAATGCAGAAAACCCAAAGTGTATGATTATGTATCAGCGTCAGAATTCAGGACAGCTAATGAATCGTTCGAAAATGCGACAAAATTCAAGTACTTGAGGACGACACTAACAAGTCTGACTGACATTCTTGAGGAAATCAAGAGCAGATTAAAGTTAGGGAAAGCGTGCTATCATTCAGTCCAAAATCCTTTGTCCTCCCCTCATAAAAAATCTAAAGATCAAAATACACAAAACTGTAATTTTGCCTGTTGTGCTGTATGGGTGCAAAACTTGGTCTCTCACTTTGAGGGAGGAACACAGGTTGAGGGTTTCTGAGAACAGAGTGTTGACGAGGATATCTGAACCTAAAAGGGAGGAGGATGGATCATGAAGAAAATTGCATATTGATGAGCTTCACGGCCTGTACTCCTCACCTGACATTGTTAGGCTGATTAAATCGAGGAGGATGAGGTGGGCTGGACATGCGGCATGCATGTGGTAGGGGAAAGGTGTTTACAAGGTACCAGTTGGGAGGCCTGAAGGGAGGAGACCGCTAGGAAGACACAGGCGTAGGTGGGAGGATGACGAGAGGGACCTTAGGGAGATAGGAATCAATGGGTGAACTGGATACAGCTAGCTCAGGATAGAGTATGGTGGCAGGCTTTTGTGAACACCGTGATGAACCTTCAGTGTGGGCTATTCTTCGACAAGCTGAGTACACAATATAATTTTCAAAGGATTTCCTGCACCACAGAGTGAGTGAAATAAAGGTTTGAGATCTGATTAAATTCACTGTAACAACATTGCATTGTACCTTGCAACTTGTCAAACCAGACATAATTGTCAGGTCTTCACATGACTGAGACATCTGCATAGCTGAATGTAGTTCTCGTTCATGGGCAGCTTCCCTTCCCATTTCTACACGCTCTTCTTGTCTCAGCTGGCTTACACGGGGTGTCAGGCGTGGTGGCCCTGAAGAACACTGTACACAAAAATAAAATAATTCCCTCTAACCTTCCAAGACAATAAACACATGCTCACTGCATACATTTAACCACAATTCTTCCACAACCACATTTTTAAATGATACTTTGGATAAAATATAAACTGATTCTCAACTTAAAGTGGACTAAGAAAGGACTTTTCTCATCACATCTAAAAAATGGATGGATTTTATAGTATTTTAACACAGAATAAATTTATGTCACCCACCAATTCTGAATGAGTAAAAAATTAAATTTATACAAATTTAAAGACACAATAACAATACAAAAGTAGAAAAAGCATACTGGACTAAAATAAAATTTAGCTACTCAAGATTTATGTTTGTATTTAACCTCTGACATATTTTTACCACTGCCCAGCAATAAGTCAGCTGATATGGCGACAAAGTGGGGATTCACTTGCCCTGGAGTCACTTTTCCATTGTGGTGAGAATTCAGAAAATCAATTTTTAACATCTGCATCCCATAACTTTGTAGGTATTGAGAAGTACTTCAACAAATGACTCCCCCACCCCTAAAGTTTTAAGTACAGAAATTCTCTATGACTTTGATCTACAGCCTGAACAAAATTTTTCATTAAACCAAGCTTCATATGTAATGTGGCAAGAATCCCCCCCCCCCCAAGTAAAGGCTGGCTGATTAAATTCATTTACCCTGGAAGTAGCTGTGGTTTCTTATAGTAATGACTTCCCTTGGTCAGTTGCCTCATTCACAAAAATTTCATATATCTCAGAGAAGTTTGATCACTTTCAAATCTTCAGATATATGACAAGAATATTTATCATACTCATTATGTTTGACAATGATGTGCATCAACAGCATGTGCTACTGGAACTGAAGTGTATTTATTTCCAACATGCAGCAACATAGTTTTCAATTTTTTTTACACTTGTGGAACAAATACTCCTGTTTAGCAGTCCGGCTATTACCCTTTTAAACTCGAGTGATGTTTTCTTGGCTTCGGGTATCGGCTTACTAGGCCCGTCATACCCTACACCCAAGTGGTATGGACACGTGAAGCGAATAGCAAGACAAATATGAAAGTGACTGGCTCAAGACCAAGGGGAAGACCACGAAGAAGGTGGGAGGAGCAGATAAAAGGAGGAGTGATGGAGAGAGGTGCCCAGTGGCAGTTGGTGGAAGAGGAGGAGTGGTGGAGGCACAGGAAGAGATGGAGGGGCTTTAACGAGCGGACCCGGCCCCAGGCTGGAAACAGAGATGGATGATGATGGAACTAAGACATCCTTGTGCCTTTTACTAAAAGATTCTAACCACTGTAACCTGAAGCCATAACATCAGAATTAATTTTTGACAAATCAAGATCAGGTCTGAAATATTAAAAGAAGTTCTATGCATGAACAAAATGGTTCAAACAGCTGATCAACACTGCATAGATTGTTTGTCAGTACACCATGTTGAACTTCACTGTTATATTTACAACACCTTCACTTTCATCATTTACACTGAATGTTTCAGGCAGCCTCGGTACTGGTAAATCTTCACGGCCTTACAGCTCAGGTAATTTTTTAAATTGTATCATATCTTTAAATTTTGCAGCAATGCTTAACATACTTGTTAAACAGATGGTTTCCTGGCTCTGTCCAGATCATCAGAAAGTAAATGTCATTTCAAAAGACCAATATAGCCAGCCTGACAGAGAATTTATATACACATAATTCACCATTCATTAGATGCCAACATTTTGACATCTTACAAGCCAAATAAAAGGTGAAAATTCACTGAGATATAAAAGTGAACTCTCTGAACACATAACCAAAACTGTTTAGGTAGTTGACACACTTGCATGCACTCAAGACAATATGAATATATTCACACAAAATGATAAATATGTACAAGTATCTGCCAATTAATAAAAACAATTAATAAACTACACTGAGCAAAATAAAGTAACTGACAAAAGAAAGTCAACATATAAGTTGTGTGATGAAACTGAGTAAATATGCACACGTCGTAACATGAACTTGCAAGGAGCGACATGCAGAAAGTAACAAAGCAAAGGAGGAGAATAAAGTCACAGACACCTGCCTCTTCCAATTCTAACCTAACCTAATCTAAACTGTAGGTGACAGCAAAATTCTGATTTTTTTTTAATCAGAAAAAAAACATACAGATCACCTAAAACATATGCATGACAAAAATATTACTGACCAGTGTTTATAAATCTGTTCTGATCTAAGAGGTCACATGGCATGAGATAAGACAAGAATGATCATGATGAATAAGCAGGCAAGGATTTGGAACTAGACAGTCATGACTTACTCAAAGTTACGCCACTGGCATTACATAAACAAGCTGACAAATCACAAAAGCCTCAGTCAGGAAATCCAGGAACCGAGGCATGATTCTAATGAGGTTGCTGACAAAACAAAAGTCTACCGCATTATCACTATACCAATATGACTGACGGTACGCGCAGAGGCACCACAGGAAAAAGAGAATGGTTACTCATTTTACCTCCTACAGCTGACTATTTTTTATAATCACAAAAGATTTATCTTAAGACAAACCAAACAAGAGTCAACAGTATTTTAATAGCAGTCAGTGAATTTGTTTCCTATTTTAAAAATAAGACCTAACACAAATCCTTCTATTATTATATGAAAATGCAACCTTACAAAAATCATATATGGGGTACTCTCAGGGCTGCTTCAAGGCAACAGTGGGCTGTAGACCCCAGCCCCCCACCTCAACCCAGGACATTACTTTTCTAAGAAAATTCCTAATCATTTTATACAAGTACAACATTTATTTACATTAACAAAACATGAGTTAAGAGAAGATTTAAAACTGTTTATCAATACATGGTACTTAACAATTTTACATTTAAACTAGCAATGATAGTTTAATAACACTAGTTTGAATGTAGAAAAATGCTAACAAATTTGTATAGGTACTTATGTTAAAGACAAAAAAGAACTTTGCACATTCTTTTGTGTGCTTGCTGCCCAAATATGTGAATCAAACTTCGAAGCTGAACAAGGCACTGTAAGACTCTTCATACATAATTTTCATGCGGTAAGATGCATAAAATCAGGGGGCCTGGATGGCTGCCCCCTTTGTGCATAGGATAAAGTGGTGCAATGCAACAAGAAGAATCTTTGTGCACTGGACATAAGAGAGCAGGCCATCACACAAGAGAATGGAGGAATCTTACTTTGTACCTACATTTTTATACACAACCTGCATACTTATGCTCTTCAACTGAAGCAAGTATATAGTTCAACTGAAATGCTTACTCCTGCGTTGTGAACTGGACTGAAGCTTGCACTGAATCTCCGAGCTCTAGGCTGGTTTCCTGGAAATATGCTGAATGACAAAGTGTCCCTGAAATGGAAATAAATTTATATTAATTCTGTATTAAAATTATAATAATCTGCAAGCTTAGAGAAGGCTTTGTACTGTCCAAACTCCAAAAATCTTTCAATACACATACCAACATGTAACAACAATAAATGTTGTCTTTAAGCATAGGTTCTACATGGCAGAACTCAACAACAATCACACCACAATACTGACATATTTTTGGATTATTATGACTATTATTGTTATAATCATCATCACTATTAGTATTATTATTAAGCTGCTTTTGTGTTTCATGGTAAAACATTTATATTATATTCCTCTAATTTTAGTGGTCTGGCAGCATACTAACCAGATCACTGCATTTGCCGCTGGTTACCATGAAAATTTTAGGTCCCATGAAAACCTGGTACCCAGGGTTTGTAAAGACCAGTTGTGTATCATTCAAAAATGTACATTATATTTCTTGAATCCATAACCCATCACTTATTTCTTTATTCTCTCTCTATAGACATATTTCAGTCATTCATCCAGTTTCAGTACATCATTTCCATAAAAATAGGACCCAACAACTTCCTGAAGCTCCACCCCACTGCTTCCAACATGAGCTTCCCACTTTTGAAGCTCCTCTAGCTTATCCCAACAAACAATTAATTTAGGTCACCAAGAAATTGTTACTTTAGGAGGTTTTCTGTTAGTTTTACCAGCCATGAGGAAAACAAAAGCAAAAAATCTTAGTGAATTCTGGAGGACAGTATGGGTTGGTGTTACTCTTATTTAGTCACTCCTTTCTATATTAATCTTTGGTGATTATGCCAAATTGGGCAGAATTTTAGAAGGTAGGAGAAGTCAACCTGGCCTAAACCTGGTGACTTTTATTAGTTACATTCTGACTAGACTTGGAATTTAGTTATAAAACATGTACAACGTCAACGTCATACCCAAATTATTTCCTTACATAGCTTTTACATACTTTATGTTGCCTTTCATGATTTAATGCATTAACATCAAAATCATGTAACAATCATAACTCTTAAAAACAAACATACTGCTTCACTGTAGCCAGTTTGTTTCACTATCGATTGACTCCACATGCAAGCAATATACAGAAGGACTGAGATGTGCAACTATTAATACTCACTGTAAAATAAATCAGTTGACATTTATGCCCTTCACAACATACTGGCAATGTTCAATAGCATATAATATATGCATGTAAAATAGAGCATGTATATCCTTTGTAGTTCACCAATTACAGCATTATTTCTTGTAACAGACAAAATTTACCTTGATGATGATGTGGATGCTGTTGTCATAGTTGTATTCAGTTCATTTATCATTGGTGCACTGCTAGACCGTTTCAAACTTACGGGAGAATCAACATCCATGATAATCAGTGATAATTTACACATAAAGTGATCATGAAGCTACAGGCAACAGTACATAAATCCAACTGCATACAGTTTCTGCTATCCAACATTTGCTCAATTGCATAGGAACTTTTCCCACAATACTACGAATTTAACCAACATTTACAAACAAATTATTCAGTCACTTAATAATATCTGTAACTGGACTGCTCTTCTTTCCGGCAGTATTAAACGTACAAGTTTTCCTCATCACATCTGGAAAGTGGGGACATTGTGGGACACTATTCGTATCACAGAATATACCAATATTCATCTCGAAACCGTAAACAATCGATTCCTTCGTTTATGGCTCAGCATAAGCGAATAACGATGGGTATAAACTGTGGGAATCTATGGTACGAGTAATGGCACACAATGTGCATGTTAATCTTCTTCAACATACACCGTCAATGACTGTGCCCTCTGCCTACAAATTATAAGTTGTATTTTCCACATGTTCTGCCATATAATTTAGAGCGGCAGTTCTAGTAAACGGAATTGCTTTGATACGTTTTGTAGTGGAACCATGCACTTTCAAACGCGTCACTGTGTGCCTGCAACCATTGTTTGATTCTGTCCATTCCCTGTCAATCATGGCCTCACAAAGAATTCGCTCCCTAGTTTCCATTCTCCGTTCACTCAAGGAATTCTCTGAACGTTGATGGACGGTAGCAGTAGTTTCACTTACTAATCATCATGCAAAAAGGTTTCTTTTGCCAGAAACTATAATAGTGTGAAAAAGTGGATTTTGATAGACGTTGAACCTGCTTTCAATGTATGACCTTCCGCACAAACGGATAGCCAGAAAATTCTTGCCGTACAAGATTGGCCTTATCTATCCTAATAAAGATGACAATACAGGTTGGCCATGTCTATCTGTCAGTAAAATTCAACATGTAAGTTGAAATAAGATAGTGTAGTTGCGTCATATTGTGACTTATTAAATTAAAATTCAATTATTTGGTTATTCCGTCAAATCACAATGTATTTAAATTAAGATAAAAATATCATTCTGTGTTCCATATCGAATAATCGATATGGAACACAGAATGATATTTTAATTATCTTAATTTAAATACATTGTGATTTGACGGAATAACCAAATAATTCAATTTGAATGTAAGTTGAACTCATACAAGAATGGCCATGTAAATTAGTATTATCTATGCCACGTGTATTTCTGTCCGTATATTTTAGGGGCATGTTTTGCTTATAAGTAAACATGCAGAATAGGCCATGTCTGTCCGTCCGGTCATATAAGACTTCCATTAATGTCATTTGATTTTATGTGGTGTAAAATCACACTCTTTAATTTCATTCAATTGCCAATACTAAAGACAGATATGACCTGGGTAGGTCAAACTTGGCTAAAGGAAGGTGGTCAGGTCAAGTTTAACAAGACTAGGTAACGGAAGGTTAGGTTAATCTTCGTGAGGCTGGCCCAAGACATTTAGTGGAAACTGAATTGTAGTACGGATTACGTCTTAACATTCTTCTTGTATTGCCCAAACACTAATGTTCTCAAGCTGTTCTGCTATCACTGAACACATTTTGTGTGTGTCTATTGTAAAAGATTTATTTTGTGGTGTATTTGGCCTTGTTGATACCAGTGATGGAAGGAAATTTAATAACTTTACCCATTACACGAGACTGAGAAGTGTTTGTGCTTACAAATGCTCATTGTACAATTTTACATTCCACTCTTAGGCCCATGTGCTGAAATATCGAGTCCACCCAAACATATAGGTATACTCATTATCAGTGAAGAAACAACTTTTCCAAAAGATAATTTCTACTGTCACAGTTTCAAATAACCAGCACAGACAGAGCTGATAATTGAAATACCAACACAAGAGATAAAATAATGGGTGAAAGAATTAGATCTAGCAACAGCCTACTGCATGTAATGAAGTGGGAGTAGTAATAGTAAAATAATAAAATCAAATCATAATAAAAATATGTAAACAATAATAATAATTTCAATTTTTATATAGGAATTGTAACAATAAAAATAATGTATAATAGTTCACCATTTCATAAGCACAAGACAACAGTATAAAGTATTCTGCTTTCCAACCACTATTACAGTTTTCCCTCTTTTATTTTTATTTATTTTTTTTGAAAATGATTACATACAAGAATATGATCCAGTCACAAACTAATTTACTATAAATTTCAATGAAATAATTTAACACCTCTGTAACCATATATAATATATATATATACATATCCTAATTCACTTCACTGTGACCTGGAAACCAGCGCTGCTTAGCAGAACACAGTGAATGTGTTAAATTAAGGCATATGGAAGCAATTTACAATGTTCATACACAACATACATATTTAAACAAATCCCATCTCATTCAATTTATGATGGTTGCACCTAAAAATCAATCACATTTTAATATCATATTAAAAATACATTGGTTTCATGCTCCTGGTTTATAGCCCATGGAATTCATTATTACACTATTAACATAATAACTAGGAATACAATTTTAGCACCACAGACAACACCTGCCACATAACATGTCTTTAAAATGCAACAGAATACTTGTTGAAAATATCCCATAACCCCCAAGAAGGGAAAAACAAATGTTATATTATGGAGAAAATAATGTAAATAGAATACAAATCCTCTACAAATATTCATGGTTAATCTCCACTGTGTATTACACAGTTCCTAACAGTCTGCATCAGAACCACATGATATTAGCTACTATATGGCATCACCACTGTGCATTCCGACCAAAGTTAAAGAACGAAAAAAGATAAAGCAAAATCTTTACCTGACCCCACTCCCCAATTCAGATAGTCATGTAACAAATAAGAGATTTCAGTAAATACCATAAGAACGCACGCTACATGCGTCACAGACTTAGACAGTAATGTAATGCACAGCAGATGAAAACAAAATACATTTCAGGAAGTACGATAACATTACGTTAGGCCTAATGACGATATATGAAATGCCAATCAATAGAGAGGATCTCACACAACACCCCACTCAACAGTGATTAGGAAACAAAGTTAGGAAATGTATGAATAGCATAACTGTGGTGCATTTGCCAGAATTTGACTTTTGTGAATCACACATAACATCAAAGATGTGTGAGACAAATGAGCTTTGACACGATGATGCAGTCTTGAGAGTAAAGGACATACTATGTACACCCATCAGAATCACCCAAAGTCTCCGATGAAAGCAGAAAGTTTCGAGAAATGGGATTTTCATTACATACTTGATAATATTACAAGAGTTGTATAGCAGAGGAACTTGAACCATCAGGTGCAAAGGAGAATTTAAATATTTTTATTTACTGCATCTAAACATTTGTCTATTGATTTGGAAATGGTGGAGGGGTGGGGGTGATGAGGCAATTCAAGCTACTTAAGCTACAGCAGTGACTTGGTAAGATATCAATGGTAAAATTATGTGCTATGTTACCAGTGAAATTTTTCTGCTTAAATTCAAAAACAATTTTCTTTGTAAAGAGGTTATTGAAACTGTCCAATGTAAATGAAAATTGAAACAGGTCAACATTTTTATAAAATGGAACTGAAACTAGTTCACTTGTTTTAATGCATATGGATAGATAGAGTTTTTTTTAGTGGGTGTTCTGCACGGTTGTAAGCATGCCCAAAATGATGTCAAAACTCACCAACCACCATTCTTATGGATAATAAGAGTAAATAACCACAGTACAGTTGTCACAAAAAAAGATGCACTGCCAAGAAATACTGACACTCTGATACAGTACAGCACATGCTGTTAAGAAAACAAGCATGGAGGAGCCACGTACCAGCAGAGCTCCACATCCGTAAAGCAGTCTGTAGAATCATAAAAACAACATTCAAAGCTGCATGCCTTACATACACAAGTTACTTGGTTGATGCAAATATATGAAAAGGCATGATTAAAGGGTAAACATCAGAAAGAAGTTCATGGAATGGAATTGAGGAACAAATCTATAAAAACCTGAAAATAAAACGTACGATGTCACCGACAAGTCCGAACTTCACGAGAGGCATAACTGACACAAGACAGTGACATACAAAATTCAATTACACAACTTATGACAGTTTATTAATTTGAAAGTTGTAATTTACATTTCTTTCCCTTCTTCCAAGAACTGATCCACAGCTTATGGTCCCAACGGCCAAAAAGTTAAGGTTCCTTCCAATCATGGTTTGTAAGACGCCACTTGTCACTTGAATCACAACACACAGTAGATCAGCTTTAGTAATTAAATTAACCAATTAAATGGAAGTGATGTGTGCTCCCAGAACGCTAATGACCTGTAGCTATTAGTTTAATACACTTTACCTCTTCTCTGTGTGTCATCAAGAGTACAGCAAGCCATGGTTGGAAAGCAGTTATATAGTAGTTAATAATAATATAAAATGGTCCAAGAAGAAAATAAACAAAAAGAAAATAATAAAAATTAACGTGCGATCATAGTTAATACGGAATATCAGGGGTGAACGCAACACAACAGAAATGCTGCTTGGCTTCAGCCCTTCATGGTGCTCCTTTGCTCCAGTGAATCACTTTCTGCATTACTACGGCCGTCAGCAAAGCAAACAGAGTGAAGCCACAAAGAATGATCAATGCCCACTGCTGATCTGACAATGGCTTTCTCTCAGTGACCTACAATGATAAGAAAAACACCAATTGGGTAAACCAACTCCACGCAGCACAGTCCTTGTGAAACGAGATAAATTATGCACCTTGTCCATCTCAACCTTCTTCATTTGATCACTTTAAACTTCAAGGTAATTTTTACTGACAATAAAAACAAAGTACCGATAAACATCTGATAGGTGTTTTTTAAGCAGTAACTTAATTATAAAGTACCTCAACATGGCAAACACTTATAGCCCATAACTATAAGGCCAAAGTATTCATAAGGTGTATTACATCTTCTTCATTTCTCTACATTTTGTTTCTTATGAAAACAAAAAGAATAATTACATACAATATCAGATATTTCTGTGACAATAAAAAACCAAGAAAAACAAAACTTATTAAAAATGTGTCCAAATTTGCAAAGGATTCAATACGACATTACAAACACTAGCTTAACATATGGCCTACAGAATAAATTAATCAAAAATACGTACTTCACAGAACGTAGCAATAGGAAAAGTATTTGTTGGTAAGTACAAACACGATGGATGAAAATCTGAGCTAACGTTTTCAAAGGAACAGAACTAGCTTCTTTCTCACTCAACCTCTCTGTTAATTTGTAACTTTATTATTTAGAAGACAAGCAGGCCTGGAATCTGTTTCATTATTCTCACCTGCAAAATAGCTGTCTTCGTAGTTGCAACCGTCGCTAAATCTGGCAGCAAGGTGGAGAAGGTTGATGATGGAGAGTACACACCACATAAATCTCCAATAGTCGCTTGCCTTACGGGACAAACCCGAACACTGTAGTCTGCGCCTGGTTCAAGGTCATTCAGCTGCACTTTGGTCTCAGCTCCTCTATACACCTGCAACAGCAGAAACTTCTTAAAAAAAAAACTCCTTTATGACGGACATCAGTACAAGGCAACTAAACACATATTAGCACCTATATGTAATGAAATATGTTGAGTAACATCTTTGTAATTTGTTATATGAAGTTTCCACTACACAGAATGTTTAACTACTTCACTCTTATGAATGAATGTGTTCTATCAAAAAGAATATGTTGTTGTTGTTGTTCCTTGGCTCTACAACCCATTTATGGGTCTTTGCCACCTCCTTTTTTTCAGAGGTTTCCTAGTCTTTCAAGGGTGCATTTGTGAATAGTGAGTGACCAGCCCACTGACTGCACAATTTCTAATCAATCCTGATTTCACTGCCAGAGCCATCTAGCAGTGAATCAGCTTAATTTTTGCTTACAGAACATCTCGATCATGCTTCTTCTTTTACTTGCTGTAAATCTACCGGCTTTACTTCCCCTCTGAAGGAAGTTGTGCTACAAATTTTAATCACCCTTAGAAATCCATCAACCTCGATCGGGTTTGAACCAGCAAACCTTGGGTCCAGTAGCGAGCATGCTAACCATTAGTCCACCGAGAGCGACAAAAAGAATATGTTATGAATAATAAATGTTTAAAAATTTCAAAGATAAAATAAATTTTACTTTATGAACAGTAAAAAAGTTTACAAGTACTAAATTTTTGTAATTCAAGTATTTTTACTTTCATTGTGATTATATGTCTGTTCTCTGTGCATGACACTAGAAACAAGGAAATTTTCAATGGAAACTAATGACCTCAAAGTGTTTAGAAGCATGTGTGTAAAAAGGACCAAAACTATAAGTATCATACATATGAGCTGTCAAATACCATCTTATTAGAGAAACTTTTTAAAAACTGCCATCTTCACGATAATGAAAAACAATGCCAAGGGTAGCTGCCAATATAATAAATGAGTATTCATGGACATATAACAAGCAGCGATCCTCCAGCTTGGTCACTGGGTGCCAGCCCTTAACAATAAAAAATGTAATAAAGCCCTGTAACAGGATGAATTCTTTGGAATGACCCAAGTAATGCCTGCAGGACATGAACAATGGCAGGACAACTGCTTGTGAGTCACTCTGTACCACTGGCAACCAAGCGTAATATGAATATACGGATTGAATGAAAAGTCGCAACCCGTATCAAAATATTTATTGGTGGTTACAATTCAACACGATTAGAGTGGATTACGAAACGCAAAATTTCACTGTGGCTATACAATAACTCACACAGGTCAAGTCATGTAACACTGTTTTCTGATTTTAATTAAATTATTTTTTGACAAACAGAACATGTGTCAGGAGCTTTTCGATCAACCTCTATTTTGACTACAGGATCCAATTGTCTATAGTGGGTAGTTCTGGAAAGGGGCTGTACTTACTTTACCATGGAATAGCAAATATCTTGGGAACTGGCTTTTGGGCAAAGAAGGGGCTGAAATAACAGTCAAGTTTTTTTATTTAATGATGTCCTTTAGAGTTGATGTTACTCACTGTAAATGTGCATGGCCCAGATGAAGATAAAGATGGTCATAACATACACAAGCACACTTATGCTTCTCGGGATGGGATTGCATATTATCAGATCGAGTACCTTGACCCCAACCCTGACAAACCGCCCTTCACCCACTAACACCGCAGTCAATAACCAAACCTCTCTCCGATACGATGTACTTCTGATCTCTCCTCTTACAACTTCGATATTACTTCTCTGGTAAGTTTATACGTTTACTTTCATTTATTTATTTTGTTTTCTATATTCAATTTCATTAATGGTTT